TGTTTTGTATATGTTCAGGGAGTCACATGAGCCAACTGGGATCGGTTTCCTTTTCAAAGAGAGGACTGGTGTATCACCTGGTCCTGGATGCTCTCTGCTGGTTGATCCCCGTGGCTCAGTGCATCACACAAACTCTTAAAATCATAGAACCACACAGATTCATAGTTTATAGGGCCAGTTCAACCAAAACACTCATTAAAACACACTTTTGGGACTGAATGAGGAACACAATGAAACATAACATCCTGATTTATTAACAAATACAGGAAGATGTTCAGTTAGGCGTGGGATGGAGTCCACAGCTTCTTTAGGATGCTGCTTGTCATGATCTATTCATCTCCACAAATGATCCTATCTGGATGAGGTTGCTCATTTTAGTGGTCTTTAACCATCCTGTTGTTTTTCCTATAAAGTGAATGACAGGTCTAAAAGGCTTTTTGTATGTTTCTCTATCCTGAACTGGATGGACCGACCTCTGGTTCTGTTAAAGAGCAGTGCCACTGAGAAAGTGTTTTTACTTATTTTTAAAAATGATGGGTCACTCTGAGTTTAACACATAGGCAGAACATGAAAATAGTCTTCTACCCCTATTTACTGCATTAGCTTCTGACTAAAGAAGACAGAAACACATTTGGTTCAGTAGAGCCTGACAGATCTACATCACACTGTCACTCACTGTTCATGAACCCACCCATCTTGACTCACGAAGGTTGTTGTTGGTTTAACATCCAGAAAACAGCAGAGAACATCTCCTCTAGTAGAAGCTAACCGTTGGCATTAGCAACTCCACCACACAGCAGAACTCCTCCAGGCTTGTGTTATGTGTGGAGATAAAACATCAACGTTGCAGAGCCATCAGGGTCAGTGGTAGAGTCGTGTTGCTGTTAACCAATCAGAGGAGAGATGTCGTCGTTTGAAACAGCTGACTTCTACGTTCTCAAACAGACGCGCCGCAGCTTTTCTTTCCCCAGACTACGACTTACATTCAGTCCTACTTGAGACCACTGCAGATGCATTAAACATATGACACGTTGGCCTTTACAAGTCTTTAACGGGTAAAGTAATAAATAAATAAATGCAACAGAGCTTAAGTGATGATCAACAACAACAACAATAACAGAACCAAGCCGATATTCCTATTAGACTTGATTTGAACTTGTTTTCTACCAAGTGACTCTTTTATAAAGAAAGTTAAATAAATGAAATTGAACTTAGATGAAGAAGTTTGGTTTTTGACGTCAACGCCTCTTTAACAATTGATACAAGTCTATGACTCATGAATGAGTGAACTGGCCCTTTAAGACAACTGTTTACATGTTGAATCCAGTCTTTAACTTTTAGAAAACACAGGCAGCACTGAGCATCGGAACCGGTGTTCCGACAAACATGATGGAGTAGATGTGTCCAACTAAATCCCGTCTGATTGGTCTGTTCGTCCTCATTCAGGTAAAGATGGCATAATCTGAAGTCAGCGGCAATGTCCCGGACTCCTCTCCACCAATCAGAGCTCTGACCTCCCAGTGGGAGCGGAGAGTCCCACCGGTCACAGATGGTGGATCACCAGTTCTCCCACAGTGGCGGCTCATGGGTGTTATTTCTGCAACAACGTCCATTCACATTTAAAAATATAAACTTGAGATCTCTTGTTGGTTCAACAAAAAACACTTGATTGTTTTTGTTTGTTTGTTTTGTTTTTTTACAGTTCTGAGAAAAAACAGGCTGGGACCGGGCCTCACATTAAAGCTTAAAAATGAAAATTATGAAGAGTTCTTTTCCAAAGTAAGGTCATCAAAATTTAGAGTTGGCTCCTCCTACTTTAACTAAATAATTGACCAGAAAGCCAATAAATGAAAGGATAATAAGCATCGTTGGTTTCTTTCCATCTGGTTAAATTTCAACAGAATTTTCCTAAAATACTTTAAATTCTTTTGGAAATGAACTCTTCAGCTTTAAACACAACCACAGAGTCAAAGGTTCCGCGGTGATTTGACTCATCAGAACATGTGCTTTCATCTAACACTTTAAGGGATTTCAAATAGAAAATGTGACGCTGACGTAAATAACAGAGCTGCATGTGGACCAACACACACGTTCCACCTTAAACCTGGCATAACACGTCTGAGGGAAAAGTCTTAACATTTAATATTTTATCTTTTACATCGAGGAATGTTCAAGAGCAAACAAAAAGAAAAGATGTTTCTCTGTTTTATATACTTAGAGTTCTCCTGCACCGCATCTCTTCCCTGTACACGTCCAGAACCAACAGCTCCTTTTCGCTGAAGTTTGATATCAGATGAAAGAAGTCTGTGTGTGTTTGTGGAAAAGCAGGAAATGATGTGTGTTCCATTGGTGTTCCCTCTCCGATGATGCAGCGGGGTCACCTTTCCCTCTCCAGAGCTTTGCAACACATCATGATTCACAAAAAGAGATTAGGAGTGATTCTGGTGGGAGAAAGGAGACTGGGGGTGGGGCAGGACTGAGCTCACACACACACACACACACACACACACACACACACACACACACACACACACACACACACACACACACACACACACACACACACACACACACACACACACACACACAGCCGTTTCGTCCTCACCCCAACCCATCCCCACCCCATTCCTGGATCTGAAACTTGGTCCACAAGAGCCAGGTAGATGACGTGTCTCATGGGTGGGAGAGCAGCACAAGGATCAGCCAGACCAGAATGAGCAGCAGAGAGAAGCGGACGGGCTCGGCTCCATGATCCAAAAGGCCCGGAGAGGGGAGAGTGGCGTCTACCTCGTCACCCCACAATCTGTCGTTCTCATTCACCTGAACAACAAAAGGATGCATTTATTACAAACACTCAACAGAGCAGCACAGCAAGATGTGGGATATTAACACCAATAAGAACCCCACAACAGAAGAAAATGATCCCATAAATGTACGGATGACTCAAGACATCAGGCTCTTCTCTTGTTGGAAGTACAGGAGCACCTGAAGGTCTTCCGAACTGATCAGGTGGATAGAGAGGGTAGATCATTCCAAACAGGAGCAGCAAATGATCACGTCCACTACCAAATTTACCCCAAATGGACCCCATTGTTCCAGATTTTAGTGTTGTAGAGGACCGTGGAGATAAGATGGAGTCGCACCACTAACAGCTTCTGGAAGTCAGACCAGGAGCTGGTTTAGTGAAGCCGGCTGGTGTGGCTGTCATCATCCAATCATCTTATTCTTTATGGTTTAGTGGTTTAGGTGCCAGAGGTGTGGACTCGAGTCACATGACTCAATCCCAACACTCGCACTGCTGTTGGGCTGCTACAGAAAGCAGCTTCTTTATCACCGTCTCCAGCAGGCAGAACCTTTGGCAAAGTTCAACAGTCGAGCAGTTTTTATCCGGAGTCTGGAAATGAACTTGGTGCTGTTACCTAGAAACCTCAACAGTACCCCAATACATTCAATAGCTTCATTCCTTAAACACTTCCCTGACCTCCAGCCCACAACCCTCCCTCCATAACTCTCACGCTCCGGCCCTGTCCTCAGCTCCACCTTTGGCCACGCCCACCCATGCTCTGTTTCTACTCCAGATTGCAGATTCCCTCCACCTCAGGAGCATGTCCAGGGAGTGGCCTGGGGTAGCACATGCCACCCTTGGAATCCCAGGTGCCACCACACTAGTTTACCTTTAAATAGGCTTTTCATTGTCCACAAAAGGCTTGGGGGTAAAACAAAAAAGCATAACCATTGGTGCCACCCATGCACAAAGTTGTGCCTCACCTGGGCCACCCCATTTTAAAAGATCTGGACACGCCCCTGCTCCACCTGTGTCTGAGCGGTGGATAAGGAAGATGTCTGTACCCGTGCTTCTTGCAGATGCAGGGGTCTGTCTCAGCTGAGCTGTAAGCTGAGTCTGAATGAGTTGCTGAAATAACATTCTCAGTTTAAGTTGAGAGGTCAGGAGGGGAACGGTTTAGCTGCAGATGAAAACACGGTCTTCAGAGTGATGACAGGGCCGTGTGCATGTGGGATGAAAACAGTACAACTCCAGAATGTATTAAAATATCTCAACACTATTAATATTAATGGAACACTGCAGAGTTGAGCCTTGCTGGAGAGAACTTAGGAGAAAAGCAGAGCAGCATCCCTTCAGCTGAGTTTCTGATGAGTTACGGAAAACGACCTCCTAAATGGGACTAACTGTGGCCGCTGTTGACTCAGTGACGTTTTATATACACCTCCTCAGCCATCAGGTAGAACATATCCACGTTCAGCAAAGCGTGACTTTCTCCTGGTTTCCCTGCAGCCAGAGGATGAGACAGTCGTGTGTGGGACCAGCAGCTCTGACTAAACCAGGCTTAAAAACGTCATTTGAGTTTTTGGCTTTCCCTCTGGAAATGAGTGTGTCCTACTTATACATGTAGCTTGTGAAGTTTATTTACATCTGTTGGCAGATTGTCAGTTACGTTATCTACAGCATTTTTTACATCCCAGAAGGAACAAAGCGCATTAAACATATTTCCTTTGCCCGCAGAAGATTATTCATAATTTTCTCCTTATTAGTAAAATCTGCAGAAGTGTGTGCATGTTTAATATCAAGCAGACTGTCAGTGAGCATTAAAATGTATGTCCCACAAAGGTCTGCTGCTTGTGATTTGATGGGATTTATTAATGATGCATACGCTGTCTCCTTTTTGGGGGGATGGGGACGGTTTAACTGGTCAAACTGACTGAAGAACACAAGTGAGCAAACTGGTGTTTAGAAGAAGCCGGTCTACGCCTTCTCACAAGTACTCCTCCGTGCCCTCCAGTGTGGAGGGAGGAACTTTTAGAGAGCAAGGTCACTGAGAAACCATTTTTTACTCATTATTTTTGAAACATCATTGGTCAAGCTGAAATTAACATGCAGGCTGAACATGAAATAGTCTCCTACACCCATCTCCTGCATTAGCTTCTGGTAGAAAATAGACAGTGAAACTAGGATTAGAAAAGCCTGACAGGTCTACGTCACACGTTAATAAAAATTCACCAATCTTGACTCACGACGGGGAAGGCTGTTGGTGGCTTAGCACCCAGGAAACAGCTGAGAAGGTCTTGACTAGCAGAAGTGTTAGCATTAGCAACTCCACCACACAGCAGAACTCCAGGCTTTTGTTATTTGTGAAGGTAAAACACCAACAGTGCAGAGTAAACAGAACCAGTGGTAGAGTCATGTTGTTTTTAGTCAATCAGAGGGGAGGTGTTCAAATATCAGGAAATAAGACTCCAACTCCTGCCAGCTGACGCTACTTTCCCTTCCAGCTGAATTCTACTTACTCAAAGGCAGGTGCACCGGAGCTTTTTTTCACCCAGAGAATGACTTACAAGGCATTCATTCCTACTAGCGACCACTGCAATATTAAACACATGAGTGAAGCTCCATTAGTGTCAGAAATGCTTCATGTGTCAGATGTGTGATGACATTTTAAGCACAAGAAATAAACTGTTAGCTGTGTTGCTCATTCCACTGATGGATGATCCTCACAAGTTCTACCTCATACTAAAGGTGCAGCATAGTTACAACAAAGAAATAATCAAACACTTAATTCCTTTGATTTGGTGCTAAGTTTAGGTGAAACTGCATCGTCCATTATGCTAGGATCTAAGAGCAATGTGTGTTTTGTAACGATTTGTTTCCACTGAATCTTTTTGCTCTTTAATTGCTTCAAATAATTTATCCATAAGTTGTTTCAGTGTTCTTGCTTTCTTCTACAACAGCCAAGATCCAACACCAAAACTGCAGGCTGTAGACATTAGCGTGGGCTGGGTGGGGCCCCCTGACGCCAGGATGCATTTCCACAGCCTTCTCAGGAACAAGGCCACTGCTGAGTACATGGGCGGATCCACTGGAGTGTCCTTCCTAAGTGCCACAAGGCAATGAAGAAAAGCCAACATGAGCAGCTTCCTTCGGTTCTCACTGAGCAGTGGTGCCGTTGTAGATTCCTCTCCCATCCATGAGCTCTCATAGCAGATGGTCAGTCCTCGTGCTGCAGCTCTGGTCCGAGCTGCAGTCAGAGAAGATGCTTACCCCATTGCATCCAGACTGCTAGTGAACCGTGCATGTGGGAAGCCGCTGCTGGCTGATTCTACCTGCGCCAGTCAGAAGCTCCATCTAGTAGGTAGGCTTGAGCATGACATAGCTTCATCTGACCAATCAGTTCATAGGTGGGTGTGTATAATAGGACCAACAATGCCTATGAAAATGCAATGACACCACCTGGCCCAGCCCGAGATGACAGCACAATAAATGCACCAATAGAGCCATCAGGGTAAACTGACCAATCAGCACACAGCTCAATATTCAAATGCTGGCTTAGTGCATAAACCCGGTCGTTCTATAGTAGAGCTTTATAATAGGGTTGTTTGGCTCCTGGGTCATTCTGAGCCCCAACAAAGCCTGAAGGAGCTCTGCCATGTTGTGGAGTTGCTAATGCTAATAGTTAGCTTCTACTAGCTGGGACATGCTCTGCTCTCTCCTGGATGCTAAATCAAGAACTGCCTTCTGCAGCCAAGATGGGTGAGTCCATGAATGTTTATTGGACAATGAAATGCACAACTGTCTGGCTTTTCTGACCGGAGCGTTTCCCCGTCTTTCTTCTAACCGTGGCTCATGTAGGGAAATAGGGGTGAAAGATTATTTTCATGGCCTGTATGTTAAACTCAGAGTGACTGATCATATTTCTGAAAGAACGAGTAAAAATGGATTCTCGGGTTTATAAGGATCTTGTTTCAAAAAAGAAATGATTCTTACAAACGGTATAGGCAGAGATAAAATCTTTGGTTTTTAACAAGATATTCGTGTGCACTGTTGTATTTTTTTAACTCTATTCTGAATCCACGTGCTTTCCCAAAACATCCCAATCACTTAATTTTAATCATAAAAAGGAACCAGCAGACAGCAAAGTGACCCAAACCAAAAGTTCGCGTATGACCCCGTTCTGAGGCGGGTCATCTCCAGCGGAGCCTCTGCCTTTCAGAAGTTTGCACATCACGTTTTCAGTCTTCCGTCTCATCTCACCTGAGTAGGTATCTGTGCTTGCAGATCGTTCTGCTCTGTTTCCATGGAGACACCCGGGGTGGTGGTTACCAAATGCTGGCTCTGGCTGTCCGTTGCTGGGCTCGACATCCCAGGCTGGCTGGCTCCGGTCTTCACGTCTGATCCATTCCCGAAGGCCAAGATGGCATTTTCTGCAACACAAAAGCAGAAATAAAAGGTGTTAGTGACACATCTGGCTTCCAAAAGGAAACTTTTGGCATGAGTCACGCCCGATCATCTCTTGACAGTGACAGGTTATGGAATAATTTCAGAATGGGAGACCTTTTATTGTGAGTTTCAGGTTTCTTTATTACGATCCATAAAATTCAATCTGCAAAAAACACACGGACAAGAATCAACGCAATTTCAACCCTTCTCAACTGGATTAGAATCTGTATTTTCTGCTTACAGATGAGAAAATTCACAGCTGAAGATAAAAAAAAACAACAACCCTGAATACAAGTACTTCAAATGTATGTGATGCTATCTCTGCCGGCCACTCGGCAAGGAAAATGTCTACAAAAGTAAAACATTCTGTTCTGCTAATCATACCTGGCAAATAAGATCAAACATGCTGTTCCCGAGACTGACTAGATACTGCTCTTCAGTCTCACTACTTGTGTCATTATGTAAGACAAGAAGGTGTGTGAGTAAAAATTCATCAGACCTTTAGAACACATTTGGTTTTTCTGCTAAACACAAACGTGTCGGAGTCACACAACTCTTAGCATGAATCAGATCTGTGCTGCCAGGGCAGCAGCTCCTCCAGTGGCATTCCCTGGCCAGCATGGAGACACAATTCTTCCAGCCAACCTGTCCTGGGTCGACTCTGCATACTGCCGGCAGGACAACATCTCCACTGGGAGATCCAAAGTCCAAACCACCAAAGTGAGGACTGGTTCAGTTTCATCTTCACGGCTTCAGCGTCCACATCACTGCAGATGCTGGCCCAACCTGCTGGCCAGTCTCCACACCCTTCTTCCCTCACTCATGAGCTGGACCCTGGGATACTTTACCTGTTCCACTTGAGGTAAAACAAACACTAGAAACACTTAAAAGATTCAAAAGATAAAAAAATAAGAATAAATGCTGAATAAATGCAGATTTTAAGGAAAAAAATATTTAAAAAAATAGAGACAGAAGTAATGAATACCACTGATGTGCTTTATTTAAAATCAACTTGCTCGTGTGTAATTTGGTTATTCCACATTCAGTGTTACTGCAAAAATAAGTTTGTTTCCAAATGAAAAGGTTCAAACGTTCATATTTGCAGATAAATGAAATGTGCACATTTGCCATCACTTTTTAATAAATATTGAGTTTGGCCCCCGTCTTCGTCCGAGTTTTTCATTTTGGCCCAGCGTGAATTTGGGTTTGACACCCCTGCTCTACAAGGTCCTCCATATATTACTGAGCTGTTAAAGCCTTATGCTCCAACCCGAGCCCTCAGGTCCACCCGGCGAACCTTCTAGAAGTTCCAAAAACCAGATATAAAAGTCGAGGTGATGCTCCTTCCAGACTGTTGCACCCCGACTTTGGAATGATCTTCCTTTATGCTTACATTGTACTGACAGTCTGGACACTTAGAAAAAACAGCTAAAGACCCTTTTATTTAAAGCTGCTTTTAGTTAAACCTAAGTTCTTATTTTTAACTCAAATTCATAATCATCTTTCATTTGTTTTATGTTAATCTATTTCTGTTTTAAGATCATTATGATTTTACGACTTTATGTTTTGTTTGTTTTGATCAGCGAAGCACTTTGTGATGTCTGTGATGAGTGCTATGTAAATACCATTTGCTTACTACTCACTACTTACTTACTTACTTACTTACTTGCACATGGACCTCAACCCCAAGCCCAGCTCCAGGGTGAGACCTTTGTCACCCTCTAGGCCTGGTTCTTTGGTTCAACACAGATAAAAGGTCCAATGGGAGGCCCTAATAAAGACGAAAGTACTCCCAGAACACATAGCTCCTAGGATCATTAAGGCACTCAAACTCATTGGTTTAAGAAGGAGAGTCATCAAAGTGTATCATCACATATTAACCGTTTTTAACTCCACTATTTCTGTTTTGTTCGACCAATAAAACTTTGCATTTCTCCACCATGATTCATTTGAAACTAAGGTCGCAGTTACATGCATTAAACAGCAGGACGTATTTTAACAGTGCTTTTATTCACTCAGTGAAAACCAAGGACATATGCTCTCAGGCCCTCTCAGGCCAGCAGTTCTTTTTCTAACTTCGTTCGGTGTTTCACTATGGGAATCGCCCTGGCGTGACCAACTACGGAAGCTCCAATGACATAACGTCTGTCCCTGACAGACTGGTTGCGCCGTGCCCAGGCTCCGCCCACCCAGTATATACACGGCCAACCAACCCCTCCTACTCATTCTCGCTTTCTTCCCGTGAGAAACTACAATTTGCTCCCTCAGCGATTTTCAGGCCATCTTTGGTTAGCTGCTTAACTGTTCCCAGGCGTACCGTTAGGATACGTCGCTGAACGCAGTACCAACGCAGTCTGGATTTTAGCTGAGTAAGTGCTTCTAGTCACTTGTCACACTTCACTAGGAACAGTCAACGCGTCACGGCGAACTGCTCCTACTGCTGCTCGGTTGTCATTGACGGAGTAGAATTAGCGAGTGTGGCTCAAGCTAACGTGTTGAGGCGAGCTTGTCCTGTGCTTATTTAGCATTTATTTGCTAATGAGCAACTTTGATGCAGCTGACGTGTCACGAGTTGCCCTAGATGCCCTAGATATGTAATATAGCTTTAGTTGCAGACTTACACCTGCTAACTAGCTTGCTACACTTTTTCAGACTAACGTGTCACGACGAGTCAGACTGTCAGATATGGCTTCCAACCCTGCCCCGACGGACGGGTCGGAACCGAAGGCTAAAGAGGCTTTATCCCGCCTGTGCCTGGCATCATGTGGGGCTTCAATTTCAGCCAGGGACCCTCATCCTATGTGCATAGCTTGCATGGGTGCTGCTCAGGCCCAGGCATCGCTGGCTAACCCGCAGACATGCCCTCACTGCTCCTCCATGCCGGAGAAGATAAGGGAAAGGAGGCTTAGGGTGGCAGTGGCTAACGGCCGGGACCCAGGCCTCGGCTCGGGCACGCCTGTTGATACAGGTGACAACCATCAGCCACGAGCCTTCACTAGCTGGGCGGATATGATGGAAGAGGAGCCCCCGCTACCTCCTCTGTTCGAGGGGCTGGTGGACAGTGGGCTGCTCGATGCGGGTGATGACGAGGCTGGAGGTGATGCGAACTCAGACCTCCTTGACTTGGACATGGAAGAGGAGGAAGAGGATTCCACTTTCCCAGCTCAATGCTCTAGGCCATCTAGCGGCACTGGGGTGGCATCGCAGGGGGACGCCGATCTGTACGAGGTTTGCAGACGAGCGGCGACAAAGCTCAACATTCAGTGGCCTGCAGCCCGAGGGGCAGAAGGGGTGGAACGAGACCTGTATGATGGTAAGAATCTCCCACTATCCTCCGCTCCACCCCAAGACCTCTTCCAGGCTGTCCCAGCATGCATGAGAGAAATGAGCCGTTACTGGTCCAGCCCATTTAAGAGCAAACTCCCCACCAAGGGATGCTCTAAACTGGAGTTGCATGGAATGGGGGACTTGGGGCTGGCCGAACCCCCAATGGTGGAGCCTTCAGTGGCATACCACCTTCACCCCAACCGCAGATCCATGTCAGCATCTTCCAGCATCTCTCTCCCATCTAAAACGGATCATCTCCCGGCATCCATTTTGCAGAGGATGTACAAATATGCTGGCCAATCTGTGTGTTCCCTCAATGCGGTTACTCTCTTGTCATCTTATCAAGGATAAATCTTGGAGGAAATGGGTCGTCAGCTGGACTCTGGGGCACCTAACCCGGCTTTATGGGATGAAATCTGTGTGGTGAATGATCTCATCCTGCGCTCCTCTATAGGAGCAGTCCAGGGCTGTGGATGTGTGATGGGTTTGGCGGTTTTGGGTGAGAGAGCCTTGTGGCTAAACCTGTCAGGCCTAGGTGACATCCAGAAAGCTGATGTCATGGATGAAGCATATGAACCTACCAAAGGTCTCTTTGGCCCTGCCTTGGAGAAGATGACTGAGACAAGTACCCGCAGAAAGCAGGAAGGTGAGGCCTTCAATCTCTGCTTGCTTCGTAAACATAACCCTCAGCCACCTCAGGCACCAAAGCCTGGATTTGCGGCCGCCGCCTCAGCGGCAAAGGGTCGACAGGGTGGTGCTAGACCACAGCGATCAGCAGGTGGTCAGTCAAACAAGATGGAGAACCCTCGCCCGTGGGGGAAGCACTCTTTTGCAGCAGCAGCTGCCAGGAACCTCTCATCTCACCCCTGCAAGGGCAAGAGGAAGAAGACATCCTAGCTGCTCTTGCTTCTCCTCTCCGGAAGAAGAGGAGGTTTTCAGAGGTACAAACAGACCTCTGTGTTCAGGGTTCAGACACTCCTGTGGTTCCCAGCCCAGCAGGAGTTTTGTTAGCTCCTCCCTCGTCAGTTCAGAGAGACGAGGGTGTGGAGCAGAAAACGCAGTGTCACCAAACACTTTTCAGTTTTCGAATGAGCACACAGTCAGTGTCACCAAGCACTTTGTTCCCAAATGTGTGCAAACATGTTCAGGGGGACCGTTTAAAAATAAAGACAGCTTTTTTGCAGCCAGGCATTCAGCCAAGGGCAGACAGCTCTCCACAAAAAATAATAAACAAACCCCATCAGGTCCCTCTGCGCCCAGCAGAGGGCCTTCTCGCTCTTCCCACGGGACGAGTCGAGGCTGCTCGGGTGATGACGTCACCCAACAGCGGCTCGCTTTCGGCGCGGGGCGAGAGGTGGCGCGCATGCGCAGTTCCCTCGTGGGTTCTGATGACAGTTTGTCGGGGTTACAGGCTTCAGTTTGCCTCAAAACCGCCCTGTTTCAACGGGATAATACAGTCAGTGGCAAGAGAGGATTCTGCGCATATCCTGGAAAATGATATCGCTTCACTGTTGGACAAAAACGATCAGGATGGTGCCGAGCAATGAGGCCCACCAGGGTTTTTATTCGCCCTACTTCCTCATTCCAAAGAAGGAAGGGAAATCTCTCCGTCCCATACTCGACCTGCTGGTGTTAAACAGACACGTACGCAAGTACA